CTTGGTGCGCTGGTTGTTTGTATGGCCCTCAATCTGATCCGTTCGCGTTCGACCCATGCTGCCATATTTTACTTTTTCCTTGTGACTGTATGCTGCGCTAAATGCTCCTGGTGTACAAGGAGCTGAAGTTTCATTCATTAGGAGGATTAAAGCGTTTTGTGACTTGTGACTGAAATTACGGAGCTGGTTGAATTCTACTTGAAAGCAGATCTTCATTTTGATGGGCTTGGATCACCAATATACGGCCAGCTAGTAGATACGGCGATGAAACTCTTCGAAGGTAAACCATTTGAAGAAAACCATCCTCGTTTCTGTGAACCATATGGAGACGACACGTTTGTGGTGCTACCCGCAGCAAGAATTGAACTATTTGGTGATCACCCAAGTAAGTTTACGGCAGGGATGGAATTTATTCGCGGGGAGGGAAACGATGTGAAACTCCCTTGCTTGAATGTTTTCATCATAATAAAAAATCAGGAACTACTGTGTAGTGGAAGCCAACAACGACCGATCGGGTACTGGACTAAGTTAGCCATCTCATGTCACCCGAGAAGCTGTGTTGGTATTTTGTTTCGCCGTGCCGACATACATTGCAGCACAAAAGAACTCCGGCATAAAGAACGGATCTATCTGTTCCAGCCATTCCATACTGCCATATATGTGATATATCAGAAGCCGTCTATCACACCCTATGCCCTTTGGGTGTCGCCAATGCCCACAACACAACAATACATTCAATTTTATTTAGCGGCAATGATCACATGGAACCAGACAAACACTCAGGGGTGGTGTACCCAGTTCTGTGCTTAGAAGGTGATCAACATTACTAGTCAAGCCAAGAAACGCTTTGTGCACCCAAAGAGTGAATTTTTCAGAAATTTAAGACTTTCCTCTGGATAGATAAAAACAACTGCAAACAAAAAAGACAACATAAGAAATTCCACACTTTGGTAAATGAGAGAAAAATTAGTGCGAGTTTTTCCCTGAGGTGGGTAAGAATATTCTGACGATTAACCGGTAACCGAGCAAGGCGTGCAATTACAATGTTTTTCTGTGAAGAAGTCCGCACAGTAAGCAGTTCATAATTGGAGAGAGTTCGGGGATTTGACAGGGCTTTCGCGATATCCTTGTGTAGACAGTGCCTTTGATCACGTGTTATCCTATGTATGAATGTTTCACAAGTGTCAAGATACTTGGAAATAAAGAAATCAACTGAAACAACTCAATCAACTACACTGTAGTGGGACAAAAGTTTAAGGGATCTCAAAAATAAAGTGATCTTTTTCTCTCAGTCCAAGGAGAAAAATCGAGGAATAGTATAGCCAGTGTGACAGAATGCGGGCAATCAAAAATTCAAAAATAAGATTGTGGTAGGCCAGTTTCCTGAGCCTGTAAGCATAAAAAGATAGTTTTGAACTTTTTTGAAAACGTTGATGACATGGTCAAACTAGAACAGGTTATGGGTTAGGGGGACACCAAGGGATGTAACAGACAGATTTGTGAATTCTTGAATTGTTAACTCTAAGATCAGGGAGATTATTAACTAATGAAAGATAACAGGGACTGGTTTTAAGAATCAATGGAACTTCAATGCACTTACTGATGTTAAGCACAAGAGATCGGGTCGCCGACCAATTATGAAGTCCATTAAGACTGTCCTGGAGAGGTCGGAAACTGTTTAAAATAGGGGATGGGGAAACAAATACAATATCATCAGCGTACTTACAAGCACTAAAGTCTCTGGGAATGGGGAGATTTTGTATATGCATAGAAAACAAGAAAGGAGACAAAATAGCACCTTGAAAAACACCGGCTTCAATGTTAGTTTAAGAAGACTGTACCCCAATCAGTGAAGTAAACTGGGTTCTACGGGAGAAGCAGTCGATTAGAACATTCAAGACTTCAGGAGTTAGACCACGCTCAGAAAGACGTTCAATAAGCACTCTTCGGTCGAGAGAACCAAAAGCGTTTGTATAAGCAAGAAACGTTAAACGAGTGGTACCGGTACCATTTTCCAAGACGGAAGCAATAGAATGAACAATTTAAGCAACGGCGTGAAAATTGGAAAGATGAGGTTTATAAGCAAATTGTAAAGGGTTATGGAAATTACGCTGGAGTATCATGCGGTGCAGCAAAAAGTTTTCAAAAACCTTCAGCAACACAGATGTGCAGACAATTGGACGATACTTTGACGATCCTTTCTTTGGGATTGATCTGATCCGAGCTGACCCCCAACAATCGGGGGTCGTTCCGGATGACAAACAAGTATTGAACAATTCAGCAATGGGTGTTGCAAGCTGGTCGGCGCAAGCTTTCAACGACTGAGGTGCGAATTCATCGGGACCATGGTCTTGGGTTTCCTCAAAACTTGGATAACCTTGACCGGAAAAACGGGATTTATTGCATCACGCGTAGGAAAAGGAGGTACAGAAGTAAATTGACGGTTAAGTACCTCAACGTTGGGACAAGAGCTGATGCGTGAGCCAGTTTCCGCACGGTAGTCCATATCTCACGACGGCTTTTATTGCCAAAACAGTCTCAACGTACATTCCGTTCAGGCGTCTTGCTTCAGCTCTAATCAGCACAGAGGACTCTTTGACACTGTTACCCCGGCCGGTCAAGTAAGCCGTCTCTTTAGCGCGACGGAGTCGCTTAACGAGGGGTGGGGAAAACCTTTAGGTTCGAATATAAATATTTTCTACAGGACAATATTGGTCGTAGCAGAAATTAAGACAATAAGTAAGATGTTCGCTGGACAAAGACGGTTGATTACTGAAGAACACAGAAAAGTCATTAGAAGAAACTAAGTCCCGCAGCCTGTACACGTTTTCCGGAGAACAATTTCCTCTCCGTAGAGTAGGAGAGGTGGGTCGGGTATAAAGGAATTGGTTAGTTTTACTGTACATCTTGGGTTAAAGAAGAATGATACAGTGGTCAGAAGTGCTAATTGGGGCTCCCTTAAAACATGAAACATATTGGGACTATTTACATAAATGCCGTCAAGGAAGGCATTGGTTCGGTTTGGGAAATTGACGAGGTTCACTAAGCTTAAAGTAGTTAGAAAGGAATTATCAAAGCGATTAAAGTCTCCAGCGATAGTACACAAAGACTGTTCAATACAAGTGGCAAATCTTGTTACGTCAGGGTCAAGCGTATAAGGGACTATATATATATATATTAACCAAACAAATAAAGCGAAATCTGCTGAGAAAACGGGGATTGCAGCCAAGAAAAGTACAATTAATTTTATGTAGGAGAGACAAGAAAACCATTGTGTACTCACCTACATGAACACAAGTGCAACACCGCGCTGATCTACGGTGCAACCGCTACACACGAGGTCAGAATCAACGACGTAAAATCAGTGGAAATGGCAAAGAGGAAGGGAGGAAGTTTGCTCTCTGACACGTTCCGTTCGACCAGTGCATTCAATCGGCAAACCAAAATCGATAGTAATTACCCAAGGGTTGTGAAAAAAATGAGAGAAGTAGGATTGGTAGACAAACAGGTGCACAAAATCCACAGGCAGACTCAATTCACACACACACACCACGTGAATTCTCTACTTTCTACTGGATCGATGCGTGTATGCACGTTCAGTGGTTCTGTATAGTCGCAACTCTCACATGTCCGGTTAAGTCACCCGATCGTGCACGTGACAGTTTGTTAAGTGGCAGTTCCGAATTGCGTATCGTCATTTAAGCATCTCGCGTACAATTGGTATTCGATTCAATTATACTTCACTAAGATCAATATGCAGTCACGGTCATCTGTCAAAACAGACAATAAAAGTGGTAATATTGATAGCGGAACTGTTTCACAGCTACTTTTTCATAAATGTGGCAATTACACTACTCTTGATGTGAGGATAAAATTGAAGCTTTATCTATATAAATGCAAGAAATATACTCTTCTTACTGCTAAAGTCCAGCAACGTTTTTCACTATGAAGACATCCATCTTTGTGATTTTGAAACACGCAAATAACCTTATTTCTCGGTAACAAACGCATCCATAGAGGAGGTAGACATTACATAGTTAGGTTAGTTGCACTAGCTTCCGCACTCTACTCACTCGCGAAGGAACCATGAATCAATTACATCAATTACATCCGTATTCGTGAAACGACCCGCAGCACTGGTTTTGTACACCAAATTCTTCTACCTCCCCTCGTCCGGTAGTTGACTGCTAATCAAGTCTCTTTATCTAGCGGGACACCACCCACCTTCAAATCTCTAGCAACACTTTCCACTCATCTTTTCTTAATAAACGTAGTGCCTGAGCCTTCACAAATCATTGAGCCACAGTCTCCAGAGCAAAATCTTGTCTTAATCAGTTGTGAGATTCAACCGTGTTGAGAAACAACATGAACCAACTAGTATTGACTTCCCCACACGAACCCGGTGTGTCTACACCCTTGAGATCGTTATCACGTCAGACCGTTCTCTTTTCTCATGCATACTGTCCTTCAGCTTGGCTCATTAGACCACTGTATAGTTTCTTGCTCTATGAAATTTCCTCAGTCCCACACTCCATCCACCTCTAAACGAACATTTTGGCACTACAACTCAGCCAACTGAGATTTTTTCGCGACATCTGAGTTTCCTGCGCTTGGAACAATTGCTATTCCACTTTAAAAAGTTGCATATCATTCTCCAACTTTACGGAAACCGTCCTTCAATGTTTACATCTTTTATTCCATGCTTTTCCGAACCCCGCAAATGCAAATCCCTCGAGTAGTTTAACCACGCTTGCAATACCACTGTATTCCTTAAACGCTTGATCTCCCCGTCATCGGTAGCCTTCTTCCTTGCCGAAACAATTTCCCTCTGTTTCTACCGTTCTAATCTCCCTCCCAGCTGAGATTCCTCTGTTGAAATTGTTTGTGAACGACACGGGAACCCTGAGGGTTTACATCCTGGTTCATCATCAACTCCACCTCACTTACGAGTTCTAATTCTCTATTCTTTTATCCGTTTCCACCGCTACCTCTTCCTTACCCTACGGTGGAATCCGAATGTGTTGGATGTGCCGTCGTTGGCAGAAATCCCGGAAAACAGTCGAGGTGAATTGGGTGCCATTGTTCAAAACGATCACTTCCGGTAGGTCATGTTTGGCGAGAACGCGGCGATCCCATGGACCTGTAGGTGCTGGCCACGCAATCGGTTGTTCTTTTGCTGGAAATTTGGCCGCCTGTTGGCACTGGGAACATTGCCGAACAATGGTTTCTATGTCTCTGCCCATGAAGGGCCAGTACACATCTTCGTGCGATTACCTTCATCCTGCTGATGCCGAGGTGGGTCGCATGAAATTGGTGGAGTAGTCGTGAACTTAATGACGATGGAATGACAACACGATTGGCGAACATGAGGCATGAGTCAACCAAAGATAGGGATGCACGTCGCATATGAAACTGTTTCAGCTTGTTGGAGGTCATTGTAGGTGGCCAGCCATATACAGTCCATGACATAGCGGATTGAACATTGGGGGCATTTGCCGAGGCATGCTTGATGTCCTCTACAGTAACAGGAGTTCCCCTGATAGCGTCGTTCAGTGCCCGACGTGTATCAGCGTCGGATGTGATAGCTGAAATCACCATGTATTCTGGGGTGGACGTCTGGTTTTGTGGAAGTCGTGATAAACCATCCGCTTGACTAAAGTCCTGCGTGTGGCGGAATACTGGTTGAGCGTCAGGTACCAGTTGCAATGAGGCTTGAACACGGGTGCACAGTTCGACTCCGTCTTGGAAAACCTCAGGAAATTGCTCTGTCATTTGTTTTTCGATCGGTGTGTTGGAGAAAGAGAGCGTAGTACATATTGTGCTCAATGGCAAATCCCATAGATTGAGACGGCCGATCTAGTTGGGGCCCAACAGATTCAGTGGTTTATTATCGAGATAACAGATGCCCTCCTTGTTTATGTCAACAATTGCAATAGTACACTCAAACTGTGCCAACAATTTGATAGAGCCACCACAGAGTTGATGCGGGCTTGTCTTGTTGCTGGATCATTGCCGAGTCACGTTTTAGGTTCGCAATGCATTCACATTCATCGATCAAGTATTGCAACTTTATAATTGGGATCTTGATCAGTTTTCACCAACAAACACGAACGTCTTCGTATCGAGGAGCTCGAAGACCACAAATGAAAACAAGGCATCGAAACTGATCTTCTGTGAGCGAATCCAGCAAAACCGTTCATATTCTCTATTGACTAACCCAGAAAATCTTCAGCGAGACAATTGAACCGAATATTGAATAAGGAATCCGTTTGTCCAAATATCTTCTTTAGCGTTTTGACCGTATCGGTGAACGTTAGTGTTCGTGGTTCCGCCGGAAGTATGTACTCGGAGTAACGGAAATGTTCTGCCGGACCCAGTCTGCGTAACAGGAGACGAACTCGTGTGGCTTCATCGTAGGAGCCAAGCTCGGCCGTGAATATGTCCTTATAACGTTTATACCATGAGTCGAAAGAGACACCAGAATCAGGATCATAGTGGAAATCTGGTATATTGCGGACAATATGGTCTGCAGTGCAAGAATCAGAAGAGATTGATAATCCCGTACCGGCCGGGCGAGTATTCAGCATCTCCATCAGGTGTAACTGAGCTTGTATCATGGCCTTGACGTCATCCGCGTTGGGGTCCTGCTTTGACATTGTGACACACTCCCGTCGCCAATTTGTTACGTTGCCGAATTATGTTTTACTCCGTTTATATCCGTTGCCTACTATTAGGTCGCACAGAACTATATCCCAGGTGAATACTACAAGTGTAAAGAACACAAGATATAGCACAGTAACGATAGTAGCACACGGGGACACGGAAACAAGCTCTAAGACTATGAGCGGATGATAGTTCTAGGAGCAGAATTTACCTAGGCGAAACACAGAACGCACGGTCGGCTCTCGATCTCTCAGGCCTCCTAAAACACGAGAGAGAAGACACGGCTTCGGCAGCACGGATTTTAATGGCTTTGAGCACAAGTCACAAGTCATGAGTCACGATTCAATTTCAAAGTTTTACTTTGCTGCTTTATATGTGACTGAAAATAACATTGATCAATGCAAGAAAACGAATGTACTAATGAAATCCACAATGAGCAATGTTCAACCGGTCATAGGCTCCGTCCGTCTAGGACGGAGAGAGTGAATATTGTCGTACGACACAATATTATTGATTTATCTCAGCGAGATTAGTATTGATCTGCGATGACTCTAATTTGGGTCGAATGTGTTGCAAAATTGATTTTGTTCACAGAATTAGCTTGTGTCCAGCCGGGCTTATTATGGGACGAATGGCACTGATCTTCGTCCCAACAGATTTACAGGAAGCAAAAATAGAGAAACCCTTGTGCTGTTACTGTTTTATTCTCGCCTGGCATCAAAAGAAGTGCAAATCCATTAATCGGTCTAATTAACGTATGGTTTATGTTTCACAGGGATAAATCTCAGCAAATCAGCACGCCAGACATGAAATATACAAACAATCAAATGAAAGGAGTGTAAAGTAAGCACCAACAACAATAAAAATTCACACAGCCTAAAAAACAAAGAATTTAAGTAGGATAATACTCTCCGTTGTTTTGCTTCAGTTTAAAAATAATTCAGAGGTGTTTTGCATTTGATATGAACCCAAGTTATAGGTGACGGCCGATATTGTGTAAGCAAAACTCGGAGTGAATATGAATCATCGGTGGCCATGCGAATTTGATATGATTAGAGCGCCTATCAGTAAACTAGATCGATTGAGAGAACAGCTAAGCATTCCAAGGAGAGGGCTGTGAGAAATGCAAAAATGAATTTGTTTGTGCTTTCAAAATAAAGAGACTTATGTTCAAGGGATTCGATGCGACCAGACAACAAAGAGTGATCATCAACAAATTATCCTGTTTATTTGGTTAACGAAATGATGGGAAATACCGCTTAATTCTGCAAAATGTCTTTTTGTTGCAAGTTGGCGAAAGAACGAAGAGGTATAACCCATAGCCAAGAGAATCAACTACTCCGTTTTGAAACGGCAGTCCAGACCCTAGGATGGGCAGCAGTAATCGACCCAAGGTCCCAATGGGATATGTTTGGTACCGAATCGGGCTACAGCAAAGCTGTAGATCACCAAGTTTTTGTGACTGCAATGGCATCATTCGGATGTTTTATCCTTATGGCAAGAATTCTAAACCCCACTTGACTACGATCTTGATGCCAGGGGGAAGAAAGTCTTTTGAAAAATCTCAATTACAGTGTAAACCTGATGCCAACTTAGAAATGATTTCTTGAAGTAAACGCAAATACTCAATGATAATAATATAATCTGCGTAATCATATAAACTAGTTCATGCTCAAAACATTAAATTCTTGAAATTAAACCAGAATGGAAGTTCAAAGTTGGCGGACAGATTTATTCTGTGCTGTTACTCAATGTTGTACGCTGACAGCCTGGGAAGAAACAAAGAAAAGGCATTTGTTTTTGTCGACTCCGGGTAAATAAATGTACATGTAACAAGTCAGTTTTTTCATTATTGTATAAAAAAGCAAAAATAGAAGTCATGATATTGCATACAAAAAATATTTTACGAACAGTTTATATGCGATGGAAATACCTGTGATGATATACCAAGGGCGCTGGACAGCTGTTTCGTCCTGTTTAGAACTCGTGAGCACGGCGTATTTTCTGTGTCCTTGCCCATGTCAACAGTATCTGGTGCTCGCATACAATAGAACGGGCTTATGCAAACGTGATGTTCTAAATTGAATAAAGCATTCCCTCAAGGCGCTGATCGTCGACTGTGGCTTAGTTGCTGACTCGTCACCGAATTTGCGACAAGACGCCAAGTTGGCACCTGGCTCGTCTACCCACGTTGATCGAACCAGAAGAAGCCCACTCTGACATCGTCAAAGAGCTTTGACTCGAGTCGTTACCACACTGGGTTCGACCGACGGTATCAGAACTGCTGGAAGAAGCCTCCGTCGATAAAGCTGTATCGATTGTCCTTCAAGAACAGAATTCAGGTGCCCACTTCGAACCCTTATAGAGCAAATTCTAGACTCGAATGGGCAGCACAGCCTGCCCAGGTTCGCCAGAAGCCGCTCCAACGCAAACAACTCAAGGCCCCGAATGACCCCACCGAGGGCTGGTGTGGTGATCCTAGCCTACGAGATGAAGCATACCACGGAGTGACACGTTACAGTTTTCGGACAAGTGTGATGAATCAAGCTTCCCTGGTGGAGTCAGCAAAGCGCGTACGTGTCACAGCTTCTGGGCCACAAACTATAGGTCGATTGTGCCAACCAATCGGAAGCTGAACAACGGCAGAAACACTAGCACGCAATTGGCAGAAGCTTGGATGACCAGTCAATTTATTTTTCACATATTATTTAATCCCCTGATTTCTTTCAATAAACGAACTGTTATTCCTGTGGCCTTTTCCTCACGTCTCGGTTACGTGAGATACTTTCGTGCAAGTACCGGTGTGATCCAAAGCTTACGTGGCATCCGTGATTTCTAATTCGTAATCAGTGCATAGTACAATTACTACAGCTGGTTCCATCGTAGCTGTTTACCTTCTTACTTTCTTTTGTTATGAACCAAGGGCTCGCGTGTGGAGGAAATTCTGCACCTACGCACCGATAAAAGAGTAAACCGGCGGGTAAAAGCGGCCGTACCGGTCAGCCTCTCCAGGTTGGTCTGCTGTTTTTCTTACATGACCATACTACGAATGCTAGGTTTCTCGTAGATACAGGAGCCAAAGTTTCAGACTTTTCAATAGGTAACAGCAAGCCACAAGCTATGACGCTTCGGTTATGCGCTGTGAATGGTATTCCCATTCCTACCTTTGGAACAAGACAACTAACGGTCAATCTGGGAGGGCATCGACGTTCATTCTTTCGAGTGTTCCCAATGGAATACTGGGTATTGAACTATCAATTGCTTGTCGATTCACGTAGACTGCAGTTGATCAACCCAGCGTCGAATATCAAATTCACGGGTTTCAAAGCCCCACTTACGGGTTTAATGTCTGATGTTCCTGTGGATTTTCAAACGTTGATTGCCCGATTCTCCAGGTTTGAAAAAAATGTCTTTTTACTTCCTGTTTTATTTATTGAGTATACAAATGTATAGTCAACTTTCAGGCAGGGGGCTGCGGCCATACAAAGTCTGCCTGGGGAAAATACAGAAGTAGGGAAGACGGGCGGTGGTAGCGCGGCTCGAACCCGGGATACCCGTGTCATAATTTGGTGACCTAACCACTTGGCCACCACCGCCTAAACCTACTGAGGATAGTATACTAGTGACTGATCGTGTAGCATACTACAGTCACTAAGGATCCACCAGTCACGGCATGACCTCGCTGACTGGTACCGGACTGTTCTGGAAATTGTATCATTGTGTGTTCAATAAAAGGAAGTAAAATCAAAAAGAAAAAAAGAAGTTAGCACTTGCTAAGCGTCAGTTAGACGTTACTTTCGAAAGGCATCGTACGTTCTTATAGCCCATGGGCCTCTCCTCTACAGATGGTTCTTATAAAAGATAGCATTAGCTGGAGACCGTGTGGCTATTTTCAGTCTGATAGTTATCTAATCCTTCCAATTGTAGTATGCAGGATCGACAGCAGTTCTGAATCCACTCGAAACACTGACCGGAGGTTGACTCGGAACAACGCAGTCCGAGTTCTTATACACCTACCCTCGTTCCAAAAAAGCCGAACAATCCCTGGCCACTCACGGATGCTCTCAAAACACAGGTATGATACACTTCTCATAATAGGTTTCCCTTGG